GCACAGAGCACGTTTGTCAAAAGTGAGTAGACGTTAGTGTGAATCTTCCCCAGACCAATCACATGATAAAAGACATTTGCAGACAGTGTTGGTCTGTCAGACTGATGCTCGGACTGAAGTCAGGAGTTTGCAAGTTCTTAATGACTTCTTCCTCTGAACTTAAGAGACGTCTGTGAGGATACATGTGGGCAGATGCAAGCCCCTGTTCCCCCACCCCTGGCTGGTGCAGAACTGCCAGAGCTCTGCACCTCAGCAGAGGTTTCCAGGTGATTACGGAGGCCATCATGAAGTTGCCAAAGCAAAGCCTTGCAGGAGAACTAAGGAATGAGCTTGAAAGTCGTAGCTGAATTTAATTTGAAGACAGTGCTGCCCTCTACTGAAAGGGAGGGCTCTTTTGGTTAAATATTAATACTTTTTGTTACTTGAAATTAAGCAAACAACGGATTAAAACTCTTCTGCAAAAAGATAGCATGTGTACTGTTTAGATGATTTAGTTGAAATCTGTGCTTTCTCTAAATGATACCAACTTTCCTGTTTGTCAAACCCAGACCATGCATAGTTGGGTGGGTGAGGATTTGCCAGCTAGGACAACTACAGCTTCCTCAGGGCCCGGTGAAGGAAACTTGGAAGAGAAATGTAAACAGGTAGACTAAAAGCTGTGTGCACTAATCACACTAATCGTGTTTGCAGTCTCAACTCAACTGTCCAGATGTGTAAAGAGACCCTGAAAAAAATGTGTCTGTGTGTGAAGTAATTTTTGGCTTTGGTGTGCTTTTCTGTTAACTCTCTTGTTATAGCCGCTTATAAGCAATCACGGTATGAGATCCTCTCCTTTTAAGGGGCTGCCAGTGTTGTGAGCCCATCGCAAATAGAAGTTTGAGTAACTTGAGAACTGCTTTCCTATAACTCAGGCACCTAGCTGCTTGTTCTGCTTGGTCTATTGGACCAGCAGCTGCAGCAGTCATAAGGAACTTGTATTAAGCTCAGGTCACTGACCACATTTCCTTTCTAAAATCAATGGATTTTTCCACTTAGCCTTGATCTTTTTGCCTAATGAATCCAAACCATTTTAGAGAAACTTGATCATAATTCAACCAAGTTGCAGAGGTTACAGATATTGATAAACCTGGCAACACCTACAGTCTAGGTGAACTCAGAAAGCAAATGCTTCTAAAACATTTGTGTCTCCTTAGCAGCTGGAATTGTTGGACAAAATGAATTGCATTGACCAAAGTGTGAAACTTTGCTACTGGCTTGTGGAACCTGATCCCTTGCTGCATTGTTATAAAGAAAATAATGAAGTTACATAAGTAAATTATTCAAGAACCTGATGTGAAGCCAGACCCCTTCACTAGCATAGTTAGACTCTGAAGTCACTGGAGTTTCTCCAGCTCAAGCCAGCAGAGAACTGCTTCATTAAGATTAGATAATCTGTAGGGTCTACATTATATGTCACTGAAAGGAGATGGATTAGTGTTCCACACTAATGGTACAAAGGCAAGGGAAAATTCAGATATTAGTCTTTCTTCAAACTATATATCATTGAGCATGAGTGTTGCATGGAGAATGTTTGTACATTGTGTACACAAATAAGTTGTGGGGTTAGTTTTTTTACTGCTTGCTTTAAAATTATCTACTTCTTGAGTAATCTAGTGGAACGAGGGCCAAGATTTTCAGAAACAATCAATGATTCTTTGATTATGAAAGTGTCCTCTGGTTTGTCACAAGCTGAAAATCCACATTTTCTGTAAAAGATGTTCTTTGACTGGATAAGTGTATGCTAGATAAATGCAACCTAGATTACTGTCAAGTGTGTCCAGATCTAACAACTGAGACACGTGTAGAAATGCTGCTCTTGATGCTCTTCATCACTGAAATAGAATTAACTGTATTAGAACTGCAAAGTATTGCAAGAGTGAAACTTGAAGCATGTTATAAATGTGATTTCAAGCTAGCATGGAGCCTCCAGCTTTTGAGGTCAGTAGTAACAGTGTTCTTGATTTTATGGTAGCAGAGGCCAGGACCTTAAATATTATGTAGGAAATCATGGCTGAACTTTGGAATAATGGCTTTTGCCTGAAATAAACCTATAAGCACAGTTGGGTGGCTGAGGACTGTTTAAAGAGAATACAGCCGAGGTTAACCCAGGTAACTCCAGTGTTGCTTTTAAGAGCTTTCCTGAAGCAGATTATTATTTCAGAAAGCATAGGCTATAGGTCCTCTCTCTTTCAGGCCACATGAGATTGTAAGCATCTTCAGCATCTCAGTCAAAGCCCAATCACGTATTTGGAGACAACAGCAAAGCTACTGAAGAGCACCGGGTGCCCACAGTGCTGGCAGACGCTCCCAAAGACAAGCTGTATTTTGTGCAAAGAGGGAGAGTGGGATACAGTCCTGCTTCCATTAAAGCCAAAGCAAAAAGTTCCCTCACATAGTCCTGTAGCACACCACCTGTGCTATATTAATGTTTAGAGAGTTAGATTGTACCAGTTAGGTAACTGTTTTTCAAAGTGAAGCCACAAGATTGTAAAGTCCCTGGCAGAGCTTTGGTGAAGATTTTGCTTAGATCCGAGATGCATCTTAGAGACCTCCTTGGCACATAAGAAAAGTGCCTCCAGAATGTCGCATCATAGAGTGCATCTACTCTTGTGCCTGTTTTGTTGTATTTACTTAGGAGGTCTCCAAGAATTACCTTACTTCTAACCCATCAATGGAAGATAGATGAGACAAAGGCATTGGAAATTCTTCCCCACCTCACTCTACCTTGGGCAGCTCCTGACTTACCAGTTGATATCTCAAGATATTCTAGTTTCTGAGCAATCTCTCAGCCTGGGGACCTTGTTAATCAAGTTTCCTGTGTGGTTATTTGTTGTTTTTTTCATCTCAGTGAATGAGATCTGCTTATTCTGACACAGAAGATCTGCATGTCCACTTGTTAAGCACTCAGGATACGCATGCCATTCACAAACAGGAATGTACTTTGGCATGACTTGTCACTTTGCATTTGGTTCATCATTAAAATTGTTTTTTCCAAGATCTCTTGTTTGCAGTAATATTTTAATTACAGAAGATACTGTGCTGTGAAACCTTAAAAGTTTTTGGATCAAAATGGACAGAAATACACGTCCTTGGTGAATACCAGGCAGGCTTCATGGCAGAGTTGCCCAAAACTTCAGGTCAGAGGAGGGTAGAGTATGGAGCTAAGAAAGCCATGGGGAAAATTATCTCCCTGCTGCTTTCATCCTTGGTTATCTTCAGTGTGAAGTACATAATGACATACTGTGTTTCTGTTCAAGTCAGTGAGAGTTTTGGCAGGAGACGGCGTGATCCGTCTGGAATGAAGAGTCTGAAGACGTGTTGCTTGCTGCAGTCCTTGGAAGCCCACTGAGTGTTGTGTGCCTCAGTTTCTTTGTTGGCCATGTGAAAAGGATGCTACCAAATTTTCATGGATGAAAAATGTTTTTATGTACAAGGCTGTGTTACTGCCAATTGGGGCTGATCACAGAAGGAACAGTATAGCTTGAATTGCAATTTGCCCACTGAAACAACGAGGTACTTTGATTCCACTCTACTATGAAAGGGTTTTTTGGTCTACCCAAGTTCATCATCTGCTAAAGGATACCACTTCACAGGGAACTGCGGATACACTTAATTATTGCAACTTTAAAAACAGGTTACATACTAAAAACTTCCTCTTTGAATTGATGAGGACAGTGAATGTACAGTTATCGCCACAGCAGTGAAATATATTTTTATCTTCTTTAAAGTTCTCTTTCATTTTTAGGAAGCTTTAGAAAGTTCCCAAAAGGTTCCTATAGAAATGTCTGCTCTTCACAAGCCTATATATATGCTGTTCCAAAATAAGAGCATGTGTAGCTTTCTTTCTTACTTTATGAGCCTAAGTCTCTACTTTGTATCCAGATACGTGTCTTGGAGGTTCACGTGTTTGTGGCTACACTCCCATTGGAGAAGCTGATGCTGTAGACCATCAGATGTCCTTCATCATTGCTTCTTTTTGTTCTTTTAATCAGTTTTTGTATTTTTTGTATATTTCTGTGGCAAGGGCAGGTACAACCCACGTGGGTTTTATGCTGCTAGGGAAGTCGAGTTCGGAAGATGTGACGTTAATTGCTGTTACAGATCTGCACTCTGTGCTTTATTCTGCTTCCGTTCCTATTTGGTTCACTTGTCTGAGTTCAGGATATGCAGAGCTGTGTGTTTGCTAACAGAGTTGTTGGAGATCCTGTTCTGACACCTGTTCTTGCAGACTGATAGGGCACACCCTGTCCGGTGAAATTGAGGGTAAAATTCTTAATTGCTTCAGTGGTACCCTGGTTTCACTTATTAAATTTAGGGAATCTGATGGGGTTAACCTGTCCATGGATGAGAGAAAGGTGGTTCTCAACATCTCAGTGGATCTTCCACTTGAGATGGAATCTTCTGTTGCTGAAACACTCAGTGGTGAGACTTGTAAGGAGAGGTGGGGAAACAGAAGCAGGGATTGTCTGTCTGGTGAAACAGACTTGTCAGCTCCTTAGGAAGCAGAGAGGTTGGGTTGGAAGAGAACTAGTCATATTCACACTTAAAATAGAAAGCATGAGAATGACAAATTGCAATCCTAGATTCTTCATGCTTATCCGAGCTCATGTTTTTGTTTTCCGTAAATTTTTGCAGTAACTTGTTCAGTTGAAATACATGCTGGACAGAATGATGGTAAGATTTTCTCACTTGCTGTGAATAGCTGTGCACTTCACACTGGAGAAGTTAATTATATAAATACAAAAGTATATTGTAAGCTCTAAGAACTAAAAAATTAGCTTACAGCAGTTAGCAGTTTCTTATGACACATCACAAGGAAAACACATCAAAAATTTGTCTCGTATAGAAGTCTTCTTTCTGAATGATACACACCTTGTTTACTGTGAGGATCGTTACCAATAGAATGCATACTCTTTTCAAAGAATAAAAAACTGATGATCTTTTCTTTCTTCTCTTTTCAGGCAGCACAAATAGTCCTGATTTCTCTCTTTGAATTGAACACTCCCGAGTTTACCATGTTACTTGGTGCCTTGCCAAAAACATTCCAGGATGGTGCTACCAAGCTCTTGCACAACCACCTCAAGAACTCCAGTAACACCAGTGTGGTGAGAAGCCCTTGTCCTTGCAAACAGCAGAGCCCTAAAGACAGCAGCTCGTTGATAAGCTGTTGCAGATGTTCAGTAGCATGAATTACCTGTAACTGCTGTATTGAAGCATTATGGCAACAGAGCCTTCTGTCTAATGGTGCTTTTATAGGGACCGTTAAAACAGAAGACTCAGTATTTTTAAATTTCTTATAGTTATAAACAGTACAGGTTAAAAAAAAAATACTGGAAAGCGCATTAAATCTAGCCAGTAATGACCTCTTGCCTAAAACAGATACCATGGATTTTCTGGGTTTACCACTGCTATTGAAATCAATTTAATAACAATTGTATTGTCTATTAAGAAACTTGCATGGTCTGTGTGACCTACAAGGTCTCCTCAGTCTACACCTATCATGGTACGTTTTGGTTTTACATGAAGGTCTTACGTATTTTTATTTCTGTGAAGGAATATGTTAGTAGAAGAATTTAAGTGTGCTTCTAAACTTCTTTTCTCCTCCGAGCAGTGATGATTTAGGGTGTGTTTTGCCTTTTTAGTGTAGCAATCTTGTGAAACTTGCTGGAATTTGAACCCTCTGATCTTTACACTTCCATAGGACCAAGTGGACCTTTGTGTAAGCTAGAACTGTAGCATTGGGTTCCAGGCAAACGGAATGAATATTCTAGTATTTTTGATTTTGTGTGAAGACAGTCAGAACTGGGAGCAATTTCTACTCATTTTGTTGTGATATATATAATTGTGCAGGCTGGCAGAAAAATGTTAAGTTTGACAGCTTATGCTCATAACCAGCACAATCAGGCTGCCGTAGACAATGTGGAAAATAACTGTGTAATTAAATTGCTAAGTTTCCAGGATAATGGTCCGCGTACTTCGGAGTCTGAGAAGCTGGGTAGCCTGGTGGATTGATAAGCCATTTCTCTGGCGATATTTGCAGGTTGTGTGTGTTGTGTAGTTAAAGTTGTAGGTCCTGTGGAGAAGTGGACGTGTGCTTTCTTTATCCTCAGAGCAGTACCTTCTAGAGCATATTAATGACTACATGAGCTATAGCTGCAGAGTTTTAAGTCGAGAGCCAGAATCAAAACTGCACTAAGCTTGTCTAGGGCAAACAAAGGCAGTATTTGGACCTGTTGTTCTTAGGACATTGCTAATCCTTGTCTTTCTACTTGTGTGCCAGGGTTCCCCCAGCAATACACTTGGTCGGACTCCTTCCCGGCACTCCAGCAGCAGAACCAGCCCCTTAACTTCACCTACCAACTGTTCCCATGGTGGACTGTCTCCAAGGTAATGCGGCAGGCTAATTAAACCACTTGCAAAATATTAAAGGATTTCAACACTGAGTGTTCATTTGCGGAATATGACTCACTTTGAAAGCAAAAACAAGACCAAAAGTTTATAGTAGATTGCTCCAGAGAAACATATGATAATATATGGCTGGTGATTGACTTCAGTGTTCCTTATGCTATCTGTGCAATCTTTAATGTCTTTTCTTTCAATATTTTCTTTCATAGCTAGGCCTTCTCCAGAATTGTGTTTGTGGGTTCAGTAAAGGTAATATTAAATGACAGTCTTAGAAATGAGATCTTGTTGAGGTTGCAGATACCACAAAGTGTGTGATGACTTTCAAGTCAAGGGTTTCAGAATTGTGTCTGTTTTTTAGGTGTACCCTTGTGATCAGTAATTCATCTGGCTGTAGTACAGTGCTTGCGCTGCTGAGAGAAGCACTGACTCTCCTGTTCTCCTCACATGCTTTGTGAAGATGCAGAACAAGTGGAGGCGGTGACTGTGTTTCAATGCCGAATACTGCTCGAATTGCTCTCCTGACTGCTCACCAGAATAATGGCCTGATCCTTTGGGCAGCAGGACTGTTGTATCTACAGCTTCCGCAAAACACCTAGTTACTGACATAGAATATATTGGTCCATTCCCAAAACGTATTGAGCAAACATGGACTCTTGGATGTTGAATGTACATGTTTCACACCATAAAAACTTAGAGCAGAGGAGGTATGAATTTAAATAGTTGATCTGTTGATCAGCCCTGTTGTGACTTGCTAAGCTATATCTGGAGAGGTGCTTAGACATGTGAATTCCCATGTGTCAGGAAAAACGTAGGCTTTTAGCCTTTAATGAGTAGTTACATGCATTCCAGCAGCATATGAGGAGCACATGGACTTTCCTGAGAAAATTTTTGGATATCTGAGTATGTCTTTGTGACTCCTAAATCTGCTGTAATCCAAAGCTAGATCAAGGGACTGCAAGCGAAGGTCGAGTTGCCTTTTACAAGTTTTTTTCAACAAAGGTTTAATTAAGAAATTAAGTGATAGAGTTTCAGGGGAATGATTTCAACCATGTTGCTTCCTTTTGACTAGTTTGAGCATTGTTGCCCTGCTGACTTCTGGTGTGGGAAATTATGAACTGAGATATGTCTCCCTGTGGTTATGTTGTGGCTTTGCTGCCACATTTGCATGTGGCACTTATTTTATAGATCCATCACCTTTTACCATGTTTTTTGGGGGGGTTGCCGTTGGAACACAGCTGTGGTTTGCCACTTCACTTGCTGCTTTTCGATTTGTCTTTGCATTCTTCTCACCTCTTGATGTCAAGATGCACATATTGAAATATTGACTATAGCATTCAGCATGCAGTTTAAACTTTGTTGTTACTGTTGTTTTTTAGCATTTTGGGTTTAGGAATTGGAGGGTTTTTTTCCCATGTGGTATGTTCTCAAGGAATAGTTAGAGAGGACATGTAATTCCAGAGCATTCTGCCATTCAGTTGTCGAGACCAAAATTGCCACAGATGCAGTGGGCCAGGATTTTCCTTCAGAAAACAATTATTTCTTAATTTTTCTATGGAACTCCTGGAGACGTTGATCCAAGAACTTAGGTGTCTTTTCAAGAAGTGTGTCCTGTTTCTTTGCTGGAATTAGTTATTCAAGAATGATGTATAAAAGTTACTCTTCAATGATAGCTGAAGGTGGAAGCTGCTGTAAAAACCCTTTAAAATATTCAGGGGAGAAGTTCTCCTCTTTGGTGAGTAACCTCTGAGCAGTTACAGATTTTTACCATTTGTAGAAAAGATGGTGGCAAGTACTGCAAATTGGTGAGAGTGATTTCTGATGTTCTGTTGGACTGCATCTTTCTTGAAAATGTCTTGCATAGCACAGTTTGAGGATGATCCTGACTTACTGAACAAGGGAGAATTTAGCTCTGTTTCTAAGGAGTACATGTGGTTGTTTTTTTCAGACAAAAAAGCTGAGGAGCAGATTACGGGAAGCAGGCTATGCTGCAGTATTGCAGTTGTTGGTATAGATGCTTCTGTGTCAGGTTTCTGTTACAAATACTTGTTGTTTGCTACTTGTCAGTGGCGTAAAAGACCGCTTTTCTCTCTACAAACTTGGAGAATGAACACACTTGAGTCACTCCCGATAGCGTTGTAAAAGGATAAAGATTCCCCCAGTTCCTCTGGGCAGCTCTCCTCTGAAGCTGGCCTTGGCTTTGCGTTTTTGTGGGACTCGTTACCAAAGGGTGGTGCTGAGGTTGTGTGTGCCCACTGCTTCCCGGGATGCTCCATGTGTGGGTCCTGCTGACCTTGGCCATGCCCCTGTCTTGTGCAGGCAGTGAGCAGGCCCTCAGCTGAACGATTTTCTCCACGTCTCAAGGCCAGCTCTCCTTGGAATTTTTTCTTGATGCAGATAGGAGGAGTCTTACCTAGAGACATATGTGTCTTTGGGGCTAGGGTATGTGTAGAAAGGATAATTTGGGTCCTGTAGGAATAAAAAACTGCCACTAAGCATAGCTGCTCTCCCATACTACTAATGGTTTGTGGACAGTGTCCTCTAGTAATCAGCAAGGCTTCACTGACGTGGACTTTTTATAGCATGTATGTATGCCATTGCCTTTAGGTCACTTTATTCCTCCCATGTTACTGCCATCACAACTAAATTCCAGATGACTGGTAATTTTTTATTTTTTTGGGGAGGAGTGTTGTGTAGATGTATTTGAGCTCTCTGCATAGATTTTGAATGTTTTGGTTGAACTGGATTTTGCTGATGGCAACAGCTAATTTGCCTATCCAGGTGATAACATCTGCTTAAAAGTATCCCCCAATGTTGGTGTCTTTGGAAGGACAACATGCTTTCAGGGTCTTGGGCAGAGTCCTTCTGCTTTCATTTGCTCCATCCAGTTCTGCTTCCTGATCACTAGAACGTGTTCACTGCATCTGTGAGTTACTTCATTTGTACGTGCTTTTTTTTTTATTTTTGTGTCCTGATTGGTTTAGATTTTGGAGTTATGGAGGAAAGGTGTTTTCTGAAGAAGAAAAGCAAGGGAGAGCACTTGGAAAAACTGAAAATAATAGGAAGAAACTCCAGAATTCTTACTGAGAGGAAAGGTGTTTCCTGGGCAGTGCTCAGATGAATGGCTTGAGTTTGTGTTAGAGAAAATCTGAGTTTTAGAAAATGACAATAAAATTTAGTAAATTTATGACAAAAAAAGAAAATACGAAGTTGCGAAGTCCTTCAGTGTAAGAATACTGTTCTGAATGGCACAGGAACTTCTGTAAACTCAAATGTTACATCGAGGTTGTGAATTTTCACCAAATATTCTGCATGAATATTTGAAGGAATATTAAATGAAGAGGTTTACTTCACTATTTCTGCCTTTATTAGTAGCCCAGAAAAAAAAAAAAAGTTTAGTCTTTCAAAGTTCTCTAGAGGGCATGCATCAAAACAAAAGGCTAGGAATTTTATTTATGTAAGTTTACACTTTTTCACTGACAATAGAAAATACCATTAAAAACAAAATTTGACAGTTGAGTATTAAGTTGAGCGAGGCAAGCCATTGAAAAGCCACCCACCTTTTTACAATAAGGACAGGCCTGTATTGTTTGGTGGCCCATTTGCAGGTAGGTGAGACTTGAGCTATGAGACTTTTGATCAGCACTTTGAGTCTGCTGTATTTCCGTAATAATTGCATGTAATAGCCATGTTTTTTGATTGCTGGTTAACGAGTGAATTTCTTGACACCACTCTTTAGAGGAGTTTTCAGCTGGCTTTGCTGCTGTTTGCACTGGAGCAATTCTTGTTTGCCACTTCTGATCTGGTGATATCTTTCGCTTGCGTATATACAGATGTGACTTTCTGAGACAGTGTGCTTAAACTTAATAGAAACAAAGTGGTGTCCTGAATACTCCACCAGCTCAAGAATCTATGTTCTTGTTTAGAAGATGATTTTGAAAATCCATGTACCGTAAAGGGAACAGGACAAAAGCAGAGGTTAGACAAACTGGCACGGGGATGGATGCCTTGACCCAAAGGCGCAGGATCAGTCACCAGAAGGGACTTGTGGGAGTTAGATGGGAGATGTTGATTGACTTAAAGGCTGGTTTCATGTGGTTGTTCCAGGTTTCTCTGCTGAGGTCTGAATTAGGTCCCAAATTTACATGGTATGTTTACACTCTAGACTGACTTTTAGTTGCTGCATATTTGGAACCAGTTTGAAACTGGTGAAATAGGATCAGATTTTAAGCCCTGCAAAGGTTTGTTCATTGTGTAGGGCCTGACTGCAGGCTCTTACAGAGGCACCAAGAGCCACGCTTTACAAGCTACCTTTGGGCATTTGATAAAATTAACTCCGGCTTTCCTTTCAGGGAATTCCTGTTGCCTCCAAATACCTGCTTAGAGTTTGAATATAGATGCACAGTCAGTTTACTTAGAGCATTTTAAGAGTTGTCTATAGAGGATATATGCGTTTATGAAATTTATTGGTTAGGACAAGCAGGGACTGTTTTTGTGTGAACCATCTCGTTATTTTAGGACTAAAAGTGGAAGTCTATAAAAAAGTCCAAAACAGCGACTTGTGAGGCTCAATGGAGTATTCTTGTTTAATTTTGTTTCTATTAATTTATTTTTCTCTCTCCAAGGCAGCATGACAGCACTAAGCCACTCAGATTATAGTTTCTTTTTTTTTTTCCTCCCTGTCCTTTCTCTGTTTTTTCTCTCTTTCGTTTCTCCTCTGATCACTGCAGTCGGTTCTGGGGTTGGAGTGCAGACGGGCTGTCGAAGCACCCCCCTCCCCTTTCTCAGCCTAACTCCATCCCCACTGCTCCTTCCCACAAGACTTTCAGACGCTCTTACTCTCCCAGGTAACAAGCTACCTGTTAAACCAACTTGTCTGAGGTGTCACAGTATTATTTACCTTTCACACTGTGGAATTTCGTCAAATATGGGAAACGATTTACAGAAGTTTTGGTTGGAAAAGAGGTGACAATAGCTTTCAGGGAGCGAAGGGGGGACAGGCAGCCTCTTGCCTGCTGCTTGGGGCTGATGTGTCATGCAAGTGGGAGGGGAATAAAAAAGTGGATTTTTCCAGATTCTCCTTCCCCACCAGATTCCTGCTTGGGTGTATGTTTCACAGTTGGTTTCCAATGCAGAACACAGTTATTGAGCACTTTGGCAGTGGTTGTGGTATGATAGTGCGGGCAAGGTCTTTCAACTTGGCTGCACTGTGCAAGTGGCACACGAGTGATTTCAAACAGGCGTATACAGCTCCACAGTGATTTCGCATCTGCAGTAATGAATACCCACAGGATGATGAGGATGAAGCTTGCACATCTGATTTTACCAGCTGCTTGCCCAGCATGGTTGTGGAACATCTTGGAAATTTGTAGTGTTGAAATTAAAATTGCCCTATGCCACAAGATTTAGAGGTTATCGATCACTAATTTTGACATCTCTTCCTTTGCCCTCACATTTTGTTCCAATTTGCATACAGATCTTTAATCAGCACACTGGACTAAAGCTGTATACTGATTTTAATCTTCTGAACACAAATTTAATGTGTCAGATCTCTATGTTAAATTCCTTGGATTTTTTTAAGTTTATACCTTGACAACAGACTTTCTGTAGATGTGGCTTCTCCTGACTCTAAATATACCTGTTATCAGGAAGAACTATATATAGACTTTCCTTGAAGCAAGGAGTTCCTTATGAAGAAATATTGCCAGAAAAGCAAACAAATTGTTCAGTGAGGGCTTCGAATCTGGCAATCTGTGACATCTGGGAGAGAAAATAGAATCCTGTACTATGTACCTCTGGGAATACCTACAGAATTAAAACTAAATCCATGTTCTGTCTCTTCTAGGACACTAAGATAGTGTCCTAGAAGATAGTGGATGACACCCACTAGAAGATAGTGGAAGACATCCATGTTGGTTTTTGAAGTTAAACTAGTTGAGAATTTTTTCCTCCTTTCATTAGCTGACACCAAGGTTTGGAATAATTTGACATATTCCAGCCCAAAGCCTGAAAGTGCAAGTAAGTGGGTTACTGTGTACTGCTTGAGGATGCTAACCTGTTGATTACATACACGTAGTTCAGATTGGAAGCTGAATGATAGTTCATGGGAGTAAAAAGTATTTCATGTCAGACTGGAAAACTGCCAAATTATACTTGATAAACTTGTGGAGAACTGCATTGTTTTAGTGCAGCAGAAGATGGAAAATAATGTTGTGACATCCCTAAACACTGCTCATCTCTACTCACTTCTTACTCATTCCGTGACTTCCCTCTAGTTTTCTGCATGAGTCATGTTTGAGTTTTTTGTTGGGTTTTTTTTTGTCTTTTTCATTTTTTTCCACCCCTCAAAGGTGGGTCTAGTTCCATATTTTTTATTCCCCCCATTGTGTTGTCTGTGAAGTATTCCAGCGCACGTATTGTCAATAGACGTGTGTGTTCATGTAGAGCTTTTGTTTATGTAGAACACAGCCATGATGTGATCTCCTACACAGGCTTGTTCTTCACATATGAAATCACTGGATTCTTTAGATTCTTATTAAAACGTGGTTTTGTGCTTTGAAAAATACGTCAGATTGGTGGCTCTTTGTTGAGAAATTGCCTTGGTCCTTCAGCTTTGCAGAGTCTGTACTTTGATCTATTCTTTAGTAGCAGCGTAGGGCAAAATTCATCCCTGGGGAAAGAAGGAATGATTTTAGCAGAAGACTTAGTGTCAGTGTATCTGTGATTATTTCTCTGGTTTTGCCATGGATTTCACTGTGTGACCTTTGGTAAGTCATGTCATCTCTTGGTGTGGGTACATGGGTACAGACACACAGATACCTTCTTGAATGGCAGTTTCATTGCTCACTTGCGAAGAACCCCTATGAAGTAAATATGCTTGAGCTCAAAATTAATATTTTTGAAATCATATGAAACAAAGGGTTTTTTCTTTAGAAAGAATCTAAAAGCTGCCTTCGCTTTTTTCTGGAAATCCATCCCAGTGCATTAGTGTCACTCAGCTGTCTGAAAAACCCAAAATACTTTGACTTCTGCAGGTTTATAAACAGCTTTTGTTTCCTGATCTTGGTCTGTTCTTTCTAAGTAGCTTCCTTCTTTCTAGCCTGACAGACAGTGTTTAAAGTTTGGGTTTTAATCTTTGGGTTCTTTGCCAGAAAACGTGGTGCTGATGCTTGTCTGAGTGTAGTGCTTGGGAGCCAGGGTTATAGCTATTTTCAGTGTGTTAATCCCGAAGGGATCGAGCAGCACCAATCTTATCCTCTGAAGTTCTGCTCCGAAGCAGTGGTTCTAGATATTTAACATCCTACTTTTAGTTCTATTGAAAGTGGTAGCTGTGTATCCAGGATTCAGAAGGGATTTTCTGTTTGTTTTGGTTTTTTCTTCCCCCCCTCCGCCTCCCTACCTCACAGGGCGTCTTTCTTTCTTTCGTGGAAATGAACACAGCTCTTTGTTCAGTGTCCTCCTCCAAGCCTATCCTGTCATCCTTCCCAAACTGTTAAGAAATAGTAATTCACCCCTGTAGGGAGCCACTTCTTGTCGTTTATTGACAAACAACTTGATGTAAATGTCTCAAATTCTTTTGGTTTGCTAGCTTCTAGCTCCGCTAAGATTGAGACCTCCCCCAGAGAAATTGTTTTGAGTTACTGGGTCTCTTCATTAAATCTCTCTTGGAAAACTGATTGTCGTGCAAACTCCTAGATAGAACAAAGCCCTGCCGATAATGCTTCTTCATTTTCTCCAAGCTTGTAGGAGCTTTTCTTCTTAGCCACATCTTTTCATATCATCTGCCCTTATGTGGCAGGCATTTTTTCATGAAACTTAATTTTGGGTAACTCCTCAAGGAATCGAAAACTTGCGTGGCTTTATGCTGCTGAGAAATTTCTGAGGAACAGACTGCTAGGAAGCATCATCAGATTTGAGTGAGAGAATTTCCAAACGTAGGCTCAATACTGAAATGCTTTTTTTTTTTTTTTCCAAGGCATCATCCAAGTGGTTTTGGTTTTTTTAAGCTGTTACTAGACCAAGATTTACATCAAGATATGTTTTCCTTTCCATTTAAATCTGTCACATTTGAATCCATTGATAGAATATATTTTAAAGATTATGAAACTTAAATTTTATTGGTTACATTTCCACCAGCTGTCACAACCCTTTGAGTTCTCATAGCAATTGATTTCCTTTAGTTTCCTTTTTAAATAATACCGTTATCATGCTGGGGATAGGTTTGTTTGGACTACCGAGACTATCACGCTGACTGCTGTGGAGTGTAACAAACAGTGGACCTTTTTTCCCCTCACTTACTGCAGTGTAATGCCACCGAATCAGTGGAGCTTCTCCTAGATTTAGCCCCGTTTGAGGGCAGACTCAGACCTGAAGTCTGCTTTGGTTCCGTCCACATTTTGTTAGAAGTCACTGTTAGAAAGGGTATGCCAAATCATCTGTCTCTGACTCAGCAATGTTTTTGTCAACAGTCAAAAGCGGATTCCAGTTTCATATGTAACATTTGTGTACGTTTGGTCTTTAGTATGCTGGATTATGACACGGAGAACCTAAATTCTGATGAAATCTACAGCTCTCTTCGTGGAGTCACAGAAGCGATTGAAAAATTTAGTTTCCGTAGTCAAGAGGACCTGAATGAGCCAATCAAACGGGATGGAAAGAAAGACTGTGACATTGTAAGTATTCAACTGAGTAACGTTGCCAGGTAGATGAGATTTTAAAACCTTGTGTTCAGGCCTGGCTTTGGATTGTTGGTGTACAAAATCCAGTTATTCATGCTGTATTCTTGCAAGTGTCTTTGGCTTGTGCCTAAATTATGGGGTCCCACTAATATAGTCCCTTGCTCCCTTTGAACTCCAGCCTCCTGTGAAATGTGCTCATTGGGCTTCTGTGGGAATCTGGTGTACGAAGGAAATGGTGCTGGTGTTCCTCAGGCTCAGCATGGCACAGTGGTGGCTTTTTTATGAAGTGTGTATAGTCAGGTCTGTAATGGGAAATGCTGGTTCTTGGTTTCCCTCATAGGGTTCTTACTTAATATGTAGGAATGACCTGTAGTCTCTCTTGAGTGCATAACTTGCATGGAACCACATGCTGCATGAATGGTTACAGAATTATCTACTATGTGAGAAGCCGCTTGTTTTCTTTAAGTACATGGACTTCAAAATTTACAGAAACTGTAAACGTTGATCCTTATGTATCCCTTCCAACTTGAGATATTTTATGATTCTGTGGTAGTTTCGCTTCCTATCTGGACAAACAAGTTTACGTTAGTAGATTAAGTTGGCTAATTCTTGGTCTGAGATTTTTCTTTGGGAACCTTCTATTGTTCATTTCATGTTGGCTGGCTAAGCATCGCCCAGTCCCCTCTGTCAGTGGGTTGTGAAGTGTCATGAGGCAGATGTTGCTTTTGCTTCCTTTCTCTTTCATAAAAAAATTGATTCTGTTCCAGAGCTTATGATCTTTACCAGTTTTAGCTATATTAACTTAAATCTAGGAACATGAGCATAGCTTTTCTCTCTATGATCATGAGATATTTTTGGAACAGTTGTATTTATAAGATCAAGAGGTGGTAATCTTAAGTTTTACTCGAGTTTTATGTACATGTAAACGATTCTATGCCTTTGTGTTGGTGAGTCATCTCCAAAAAAGGTACAGCTGCCACAGAATTTGAGCAGTCTCATGTCTTTTCTCCCTTTGATTCCCCAGGTGTCTCGAGATGGTGGCCTTGCTGTACCTAGCAGCGATGTCCGTGGAAACAGTGACATTGTGGAAGGTGGAAGGATGGCTCTAGATAACAAAACCTCCCTACTTAACACCCAGCCTCCCCGCGCCTTTTCAGGGCCGCGTGCTCGAGAATATAACCCCTATCCTTATGCTGACACAATTAACACTTATGACAAGACTGCCCTGAAGGAAGCAGTGTTCGATGATGACATGGATCAGCTTCGGGATGGTTCGTATCAGTGTATCTCATAGCAAACTGCCTGCAGTTTTCCGTTTCTGGTATATTTGTCTACAGGTAGTGCTCTCAGATACATGTCTGCTCATGCATATGTTGTCTCCACTGCTTTGTGCTCTGTCTAGTTTCGGAGGAAGTTCTTTACTGAACGAGTGGTGAGGCACTGGAACAGGCTGCCCAGGGAGGTGGTGGAGTCACCAGCCCTGGAGGTGTTTAAAAAAAAGGTAGATCTAGCACTTGAGGCTATGGTGTAGTGGTTAGGTATGCTGGGGTGAAGGTTGGACTAGATGATCTTCAGAGGTCCCTTCCAACCCCTAACATTCTGTGATTCTGTGATTAGTTTGTATCTGAGTTGAGGCTTGGTATGAAATACTGTGTGTTCTTGTGTACCAGCAGAACCTGACAGGTAGCTATTAAGAAAATATTATACTGCAGTTTTAATTTTTGTTTGTCTAGAGTTTCCCTCAAACTAGTCCCTTAAGCATCTAAATGCATCTGTGGGGATGCATTCTGGGGACCCTTTCGCTCTTTGTGACCCAAACACCTCAGTGAATAGCTCGTTTTTACTGAGTGTTTCCCTTCATTTAAGTGATGCTGCATGTTAGCTTTATTGTTTTGCAGTACACTGATGAGTCACTGGGGAGTTTGATCCAAAGGTCATGCATGTGATCACTGGTTTTGGGTGTGTGTGTCTGAGAAAAGCTGCAGCAGTTCTCATCTTGTAGAAGTAATTATTGGAACTGGATGAAATTCAGTCATTGTCTCTTCCTGGTTCATTAGGAGCCATGTGCAGATTCATGAGCTGTGTTATGAACTCAGGTGGAATTGTCTACTTGACTGAGGCCACCTGGAATTTGATGTATTTGGTCGGGGGATCCTTTTTACATCCACTTTGTTCTGTAGAAGATTAGTAATCTTGACCTCTTTGATCTTTTTCCTCGTTTCCCCAAATGATTTGCTGCTGTTTGTCCTAGAAGTACCCATTGACCATTCAGATTTGGTGGCTGATCTTCTGAAAGAGCTCTCCAACCACAACGAGCGGGTGGAGGAGCGGAAAGGAGCCCTCCTGGAACTGCTAAAGATCACAAGGGAAGACAATCTCGGAGTTTGGGAGGAACATTTCAAAACCATTTTGCTCTTACTGCTGGAAACGCTTGGAGACAAAGATGTGAGATACAGATTTTTGGCATAACGCTCCTGTACATTGCTTTAATTTAGGTGATAGTTTCTCCACAGTACTTTAAAAGAAACCTGCTGCTTTTGTACAGCATCTCATCAGTGATGCTGCACTGCTCATTTTTTCTTTTGAAGATTGACAACTCTGCTTTTGTTTTCTGTGTGTTCAGTGATGAGTTTTAAGCTACTTGGAAGTGTCCCAGTTTTTCCCTCTCCCTCTGGAGTGTCAGTAACACATAACTGGCAAAGTGAATTAGAATCAGAAAAGAAGTTGTCTTCTAACCTAGTACAGAAACTATCAGGATTTCAAAAGTTGTTCTCTTCTGCTTTAGGATGAAGTTACAAGCTCTTAACTATATCATACCCATTCCCAAAAGAAAGGAGAATAAAGACACCCAAGAATAGCATTTATTTTTTTTCCCTTTGTATGGTTTAAAGATCCAAGCTATTAGGGCTTAGGGGATGGGTCTCTTGCAAAAGTGTCGTCAAGAACAAACTGCTTTTATAGGGAATCTTGTTTTGAAATATTAAGAAAAACCCCACCTGTGTTACTATCACAGCTTTATATTTGATAGTTGACTAAAGTGGTAATTTACAGGCTAGACTTTTTTTCCACTTGGGGCTATTTGTTCAGCTTGCAGCATAATGATATTTGATAAAGCTCAGCACCTTGCTGTGCTCCATCTGAATGGAGCAATATTTAGGCTTCAAAGCACTCACAGGTTTTTTTGTTTCATCTGATTCAAAATCCACCTTGTAAAGTATCAGAAATTTTAATTCTGAAGTAATGTAGGTAGCTGACATTCTCAGGTTTTTTTTCGTAGTATAAGCATGAGCTGCTCTAGTCCTATGTGTTTCATCATAGCATCATTACACACATATCAGAAGATATGGTGGGTTTAGGTACATGTGAATTGTGCTACTGCATGAATTTTGCAGATGAGTAGGGAAGGACCTGCTTTAAGGGCTGAGTATAGAGTGAAG